AATCGGATTTAGATTAAAATTCAATCTATCGACAACCCTAGAGATAGTGGTGGGTTGTGGAGTTGAGTGACCAAAATGTTTTTGGTAATATGTAGTTGAAAAATCGATAATATTTTTATGATATTTTCATAAAATTTGATGTAATATGTAGTTAAAAAATTGTGAGTCCCATAAAATATATTGATAAAATTAATTGTTGACTTTAACTGTAATTAAAATTTTGATTTTAATTCCGACAAGATTACATTATGCCGTTGACAAATCGATAATATTTTTATGATATTTTCATAAAATTTGATGTAATATGTAGTTAAAAAATTGTGAGTCCCATAAAATATATTGATAACATTAATTATTGACTTTAACTATAATTAAAATTTTGATTTTAATTCCCACAAGATCACATTATGCCCCCGATTGACCCCATTATTCTCCATTCAATTATAATTTATTTTTCTCTTTTCATCTTATCAACCGCATATTCTCCAATAAAATAATACTATACATAAATTCAAAAAAAAAATCATTCTTTTTTTAACCACACGTTTTCCAAAAAAATTATTATTTCTCTCATTATAATGCAAAATAATGAGATCACTATACCCCTGTTTGGCCCCCATTAAATCTCATCAAATTAATCCCTTGTTTGATTTTCATTTTAGGAGAAATAATGCATTTTGAATAGTGGATTGATGGAGAATGTGTGATTTTAAATAAAAGTTTTGAATTTGCATGTAATATTATTTTATTGAAGAATGTGTGGTTGAAAATAAATTTTTAGATGAATAGGAATCAAACAGGAGTTAAATTAAACTTTTCTCTTTCTTATTTTCAACTAAACAATCATCAATAAAATAATATTATACGTAAATCGAAAACTTTTCATTCTTTTACAATCATCAATTTTTTTTAAAAAAAATACTATTCCCTCCATTATAATCAAAATTAATGGGATCAAACGGGCTATATGTATATATATATTTATGTGCAGTGAGAGGAAATATGTGCAGTGTTTGAAGGGGACAAGTCTCCAACACTTGCAATCATTGACTTTTTCTATCTCTATACGTTTGGACCATTTGAATACATAAAGCGTCCTCTTGTGAGGCAATTATTGTTGTATTGATTGAAAAGAGTCAGCTTACTGTAACGTATTGTCTTATCCTGCTTCGTGACGGTCCTCCCACGTCTCACGTTAAATTATATTTTTAAAAGTTGAACCCCAATTTTAAGAGCTCTCATCGTTTCATGTTTGGAGCATCGTGAGGGAGGTAAATCGTGGGATGTGCTCTATCAGATCAGGGAACAAGAATTTGCCCGTATACTGATGCCCACAAAGAGTCAAATTCTATATCTTTAAAATCAAATCCTCACATTGGATCAGTTTGGGTTGGAATTTATCCAAACCAATCAAGTCGTTTTCGGTTTCGAGTTGGACTCAAAACTAATCCAACCGGAACCATGCCCAAGCCTATGTGTATTTGCTCCCTTTTCTTAAAATATTATTTATATATTTTGCAAAATGAGGGAAAATTGACTAACACTACTCCAATTTAAACTAAAAATAGGAAAACATAAAAATGAGAAGAAAAGATTGTTTTAATTTTCTTATTTTTAATGATAAGTAATTATTTATGCAATATAAGTGAAAATTTCTTAATCTACAGTAATAATAGGTAAATTTGACTTTAAGAATTGTGTCCGTAATTTGCTCTACTCTTTATCTTTCATCCTAAATAAGTTTATGAAAAGTAACTTATCTAGAATAACAACGATGGAACATGGGGTCTAAACATTCCCGTGACTGTATTGCTCTACCTTTTGAAAGTATTAGTTTTACGTAATTATTTATGCAAAATATGTGAAAATTGACGAGTTAATTTAATCAATGATCACTGAAATTTGTTATAGGCTACCACTTGTTTATCGAAATTTAAAAAAGTTATTCTTTGCTAGCTGAGCTTCGCTATAAATTATTACTTGCTCATTGAAACCTAAAAGATTATTCTTTGCTCATTAAATTTGAACAAAGTTACCTATCAATTACCCATATCATTTTCGTCCGTGTTATCTATAGCATAGTTCAGTTATCAACGAGTAACTTTGTTCAAATTCAGTAGAGCAAGTAAAAACTTAATAAAGTTCAATGAGCAACGAGTAAATTTGTTCAAATTTAGGTGAGCAAGTAAAAACTTATCGTAAAGGTCAATGAGCAACGAGTAACTTTTAAATAAAGGTGAGCAAGTAGTATTCTATAGTAAAGTTTAGTGATAATTGATTAAATTATCTCGAAAATTGACTATAAGTAATTTTCTAATCTATAAATTGGGAATATGAAAATTCGAAAAACAAGAAGAATAGATGGTTTGAACTTTCTTATGTTTAGTGATAAGTAATTATTTATGTAAAATTGACTTTGTCGAGACTAATAATAATTTTCTAATCTAAACTAAAAGTAAGAAAATTCGAAAATGAGAAGAGAAGATGGTTTGAATTTTCCTTATTTTTTAGTGCAAAAAATCATTTTTAGTCCGAGGAGAGTAATTTTTCCTCATTTTGCACAAATAATTACTTATCAATGATACTTGAGAAAGAAATAGCAATGACGAGAGACCCCCCAAAAGAAAGAAAAAGTATACCATATGAAATAGTTATGAAATAAACCTTCGTGCTCTCTTCGTTCTTCCTCGTTGTACCTTTAGCGTGAGAATTATTATGGGATTTAGGAAAGTAGATTTATGAAGGAAAGATGGACTTTGTATTCAGATAGTCAAAATTTCAAGACCCATAACTATTTTGCCTTAGGAGTATTTATAGGTATCTGAAGTCATGTAATTGTTAGGAGTTATTGCCACGTGTTCCACGTTGCACCTTCCATTACTCTCCACGTTTGGAGTGGATAACCTCCACCTATCCAACAATTGATTATGTCCATGATAACCGTTAAATGGTTCCCATCCAATTCAAGGATGTTTGTAGGTATAGTGTTGAGTTGGTCTAATAGTGGTAAATGGTTTGATAATGTTAGATGGCTCAGTATGAACGTAGAGGGTCTCATAGTGGTAGACGACCTAGTATGAACATAGAGAACTTAAGTGATTGACAGTCCGGCTTAGACGTAGAAGGCCTCGTAGTAGTAGACAACATAGCATGCAAGCAGAGAGCATTGTAATGGTAGACAGTCTATCATGTAAGTAGAGGGTCTCGTAGTTGTAGACGACCTAACATGAATTAGAGGGCTTCATAGTGGTAGACAGCCTGATAATGGTATCCGATCTATTATGAACATAGATGGTTTTATAGTGGTCGACAGTCCAGCACAGCATGCAAGTAGAGAGCCTTGAATGATAGACGACCTGGCATGCATGTAGAGTACCTTATAGTGGTAGACAACCTAGTATGAATGTACAGGACCTCATAGTGGTAGACAAATTCATAATGACCTTATAGTGGTTGACAGCTTGATAATGATAGACGGCCTAATATGAACGAGGAGGGCCTCATAGTTGTAGACTACCTAGCATGTGGTGCTCTATGTAGAGTGCCTATTGAGTAGTTTTCACCTTGTTATTAGTCGTAGATAATTATTGATGCCATTTAATATCGCTGTATACACTATATGCTTTAATTCTAAAAAAATAGTACGTCAATACATCTCAAAATCTTGAAATGTTACAGAATTATGAGGCAAGAGACTTTAATTAGTATTGTGAAATAGCTATGTTAAAGTAGCACGAAACCAAGTTCACAAATAACTTGGTAGATATATATCGAACAAAATAAAGAGTTTCTTTTTGTTTGCTTTTTGACAAGTAGATAAATAACAATTAGAAATGGCAACTTCTTGTTAATGGGATATTGGATAGTAAAGTGACCAAAAAACTCTTTCTTTCATCACTTTATTCAAAAACTGATGTGATGACACCCCAATAAAGCTCTTGAAATAGGCAAAAGCTTAAAGTCAGCAACAAAGGCAGGTAATGCGTGCGTGCGTGCACGCACACGAATCACAAAAATAATCCCTTTTTCTTTAGTGATTTTCCTTTCTCCTTTTTGTGTAACGAAGGGTTGTTTTTGATGACGACAAAATTTTTATTTGGACAACCACCACACCAAAAGTATTAACTGAAGGATAATGATAAGAATATGATTAAAAAAAAAAAAAATTGAAAATATATACTCGACAATTAGCAAAGATTAAAAAACTTTGCTGCAAGTAAAATGTGGTGCAACACAAGCTCTTTTACTTTAAATTTATGAAAATTCAAAATTTTGGTAACTTTAAGAAGACGACTGGGCATATCCTTCAAGAGATAAACTAATACATATACTGTCAAAACACTAGGACGTTCGTAGATCAACTGACTGGGGTGTCCATTGACAAGTCGATCTCCTCTTTCAAGAGATGAAGAACCAGTTGTAGACCAACGAGATAGAAAGTAGGTGATTATACAAAAGAAACACACTTATAAAATAAAAGTGGGCTATCTTGCACATTATTTTTGTACATTTATTCATTATTGCAATACAAATAACACCTCCACTATACTAGTGATGGAGGCACGAACGATGGGAATCGAGGAGAAAAAAGGTCAATAACGATTAATGAAACCTCATAAAAAATCTTGAAACTATGAGAAGCTCATAACGGAATCAATGTCCTTTGACAATTGCACTATGCTGTCAAATGGAAAGACTTAGCCAACCGAATGACCTTCGCCAAAGAAAATCATGCCAAGTAAAATTGTGTCTAACTCTCCTACGTTAACCTCGTATTTTATTTATTTTCTATTTGTTTCATTTTGAAATGATGACGTTAGCATTCTTGGAGAAGCTCGACCATCACAAGAAATCGCATTACCAAATCTTATAACCGTTCCAAAAATCACTTTTAAACAAAAGTACTTCTCAAAAAATTAAAATCAAACAAAGACTTGGATTCCTTGCTTTCGCTACATAAATATTTAGATTATAAATTATCATTTAATGAACATCGCAAAAATCTTTTAAAACTTCATTCATATCCATATACCACTACTATCCTCACATTGTAATTATGAAAAAGTACACCAAAACCATTCAATCAAAAGCCGAAAACAGGGCAATTTGTATATCAGTAAAACTATAAAAGAGCGACGAATCAGTCAACAAAAGGGCTAAGAAAAAATTTAAGCCTATAACAGTAATAAACTCCAGTTACCATACACTGTCCTTAAAATCCTGCAACATACTTCACGTCTAAGCACTTTAAGAAGTCCGCAAGCAGGTCGAGTGCACGTCCACATCTCAGATGCTAACCTCCAAGTAGGCAACAGGTTGATTTACACGAAGCTGAAGTAGAAGAAAGGACTTTTGTTGACAAACCATACACAAAGAATATAATGTAAATATTGCAAAAGAAATTGAAAAGCATTATATGCCTTCAAAACTCAAGGTTCAACAGGAAGAGAACAATGCAGACGTTACAGCTTTCAGTTTTTAGCTTTACAGAGAGGCAATACTAATTGGTAGGAATCATATACGGCAAACTTCTTTGACACAAATCCCTGCTGCTATATATGCTGACTATTTTATAACTACTTTTCTGTAAGAATTCATTTCTGTTAAGTCAATTCCACAAAAATATAGATGGAAAGGCAAACGCCTAGCTCAAGTTGTAAGAGCGAAGCCTTACTAGGCTAATGACCTGGGTTCAACACTCCTTTTGGAGAAGCGGTGAAATCCAATGATCCCCTTTAAAATAGGGAAAAAAAATAAAATAAAAAATAGACCAAGCTACTGATTAGTTTTGAAAGGGAACGTTACTACTCATCCACAGCCCCGCACAAACATTCTTTGCCTCTATAGTTAAATTACCATTTATCTAATTGACAAAAAAATTTAGAACTTTCGCTCCAAACCTATTGACATGAGCTGTCCTAAGGGAATTTATAATATTTCTTCTTCAATTATACATAAAACACCTATTTCCACTGTAGGTGATATAATTTTGAATCAGCACTGTCAATATTTAATGACAACTCTAAAATGGACTAACCTCCTTAAGTAAAACCATCAAATGCATCCGACTAACATGCATAATGTCATGCAGTAAGTATAGCCCATCCAAAATAACCAAAAAACATAAAAAATAAAAAAATTAACCTTTGTTGAGATCTCACTCGATTCATTGCTATTGATGAATCAAATCTTTAGCAATCAGTTCATGACATGCTAATTTCAGTCAACCCATCCTTGTCTTTGTTCTAAACTATTCTACTGGGATTCCACTGCTCTTGTGAATGTAAGTTTTTTAGGTCCAGCCAAGACATGAGCCCGCCCCCTATATCATTCTTTATTTATCCTCAATAAAACCCATCCAAGAAAACTAAGGGAAAAAAAAAAATACACAACACGTATGTATAAATTTGCATAGGATGTAAATAAGCACCTTGGTCAGGCGTGTGTTCTGTATCTTCTCCCCCAAATTTCTCTAATGTGAAGCCATCAAAAGCTTCCAACCCATATGCACAACGTCAATGCAACCAATAATGCGTACCGGATAGTAAACACAAACAAACACACTCTGAATGCAGATAGGGTGTATGTTGGTTTCTTTGTGATGGCATGAGTCATGACAGTGAAAAATATGTTTAATGAGTTCCTTTGATATGGGTCAATGCTTTTTTATTGACTGGATTCTTCAGCGGGGTAAACCAATGGTGCTTTGACATTCAATTTTTGACAGCTGGTGTACAAAGGCCTACTAGTCTAATGATTTTTTCAAGAGAGAATACTGTAAGGAAACCCCCTCAATTATTCTTTGAGAATTGTTTTTTCAAGGGATTCCAATCTCACAGAAACCAGATATGTTTTTTATCGATGTAGTTATTTCCTCGGTTTATATGAAAGCAACAAAAAGTTAAGTAACTTCCAACAAAGAGAAGTTACTAGTGTTGCTAACATCGTAGCAGTGATTGCAACCAAAGAAGAGATAAAATCTTTATGATCATCAGGCTCTGTGGGTCCATAAATAAAATTAGGAGACCTAATGGTTGTCGCCTGACTAAGCCACCAATAGACACCAGATTCATGTAAGCTAATAAGTAGTAAGCTATTATTTTTAAGATCAATCGGTCTTAAAGTGGTAGAGGAAGTATAAATTATGGCAATCGCAGTTGAAGAGTACGGATCCTTAACCGTTCTCACAAAGTCGTATAAGTTCTATAGCATCAAAATAAGCAGTTGGTTTGGTTGATGAAGGGCAATCTTCACAAAAAAATAACAAATGGAACTATGCTGAAAACTAGGGAATGGATTGTATAAACTCCTAAGAAAAAGCTTTACATAGATATGGCTTTGATTGGCTGGTATGACTAAGTGATTGAAAAGGAGAGCGCCTGGAAATGTTAGGCCGGCTATGGAAAGAAGAGGATAGTTACAGAATACCAAGAAGAAAATGTAAAGTAAAAGAAGAGATTCAAATGTCAGGGTTAATTTTGTAAATTGCACAACGGAGATGACTTTCCAAGGAGGTCAAAGTAATTCCAGAATGTATAACTACTAGGATGTAACACAGGGTTTGTCAAAGACACAAAACATTTACTTAATCACATAAAAAGCCAGTAAATGAAAAACAGAACAACCAGAACATTAATTCAGAAGACAACGAAGAAAAATACAGGAAAAGCATTCATGTAATAATGAAATCAGGCGGAAGCAGTAAGTCATCAATGCATAATTTGCAACACATAAAATTAGCAACATATAGATCAAACTAGCCGAAAATCAGCTCAAAAGAATGTCCCAAGGCTGTTTGATTTACATAGTGTAGGTAAGTCTTGAGCATGCACACAGGGTAAATGAAATAACAGGAATATGAGTTAAATGAAATATTAAATAGATAAATGGTGGAGGAGTAGAAATGTGGATCTAGAGCATATCAAGTATCTTTTGTTGAAAGAATCCTACCTTGTGCAAAAACCTATTTATAAACATAATATTCTGGAAAACAGGTTGTATAAAACAAACAAGACTAATTCAATTTAAGAACTATAATAAAATTCTTGTTTGATATGAGAGTGTAAAAGTTACCATTCTTATTCTGTCAGGAATCATTCAGCTCAATCTTCTCCTTCTAGATTCACGGGAATCCCGATTGTCTGCATTTGAAACCCTAGACAGAACTCTTCTTCTGCGAGTAGCAGAAGAAGAAGGTGCCACGGGCAAATTGATTTCACTCGTTGTGCTCATTGCCAGGATATGTACAACAGTACTAGGAACATCCCTTGTTTGGGAAGAGGAGGAAACAGCTAAACTTGAATCTAGAGCCTGATGGTCAGATTGTATAACAGCAGAATCACTAGTAAGAGGATTATTCCCAGTCTCAACAGATGAACCCTGGGCATCACTCCATAAAACCCGGTTGTTAAAAACAGTTTCAAGGTCCTCAACTAACCTTTCAGCAACTAAACTTTCATCATTACTCAAAGCAGATGAAAGGGAAGACAAAGAAGCAGCACTTTCGGATAATACTCTTGAAACCCGCTGGACCCTAAGGCGGTGGCGGCTTGCTGCCTCTCCAATTTGAACCTCTGGAGCATCAGACTCGAATCTGAAATTACGACTACCACCCTCAGTTTGATCCCCCATTGCACCAATACTAATCCTAATTCGCCTCAATGCTTCCGCAACTGGAACATGAGATAGACCATTTGTCACTTGCTGCTGCCTCAAACTCTCTATTCTCTGAGCTTTGGGCCTTGGAGGAATCTTCAAGCCGGATTCCAACTCAGCCACAGGTTCACTATCCCCATTCCCATAAATAGGAATCACAGTGCTATCAGATACCTCTCCTTTACAAACCGGACATTCCTTAGAAGTTGAATCAATATACGAGACTTGATAAAAGCACACCCAACAAAACAAGTGACCACAGCAAGTCAATACAGGTTCCCTTGCCACCTCCAAACATATATTACAATCGTAGAAGCTCCCACCTTCCTTATCAACCTTCTTAACATCGGAATTCATCTCCAAAGCCTTTGCAACCAAATAGGAACTACCCCTTTTACAACCTTTTCCTCTCTCAGAGCTCCTTTCTATAACACCACCACCACTTCCTCTAAAAGCACCTCTCTCACCATCCACATGTTCGCCAGAAAAGTCACTTATTTCAACGGCATTACGCAATTGGCGCTGCCTAGCAAGAGCAGTGACAGCTTCGAGCTGTCTAATCCTCTCCTCTATCCTACCATGGGTAGTTTCCAACTCATTCAACATAGATCCAAATCTCGAATCTGAATTCACAGGTGGGTCCAACGGTTCTTGGTTCAAATCAAGATCCACCAAATTTTCGCCCATCAAATTGTTATCATCCATCACACGAACAACACCTCAAGACGCAAAACCTTCAGTATAACACAGATAACTTAAAAACCAAAGAATTAGGAATTAGAATTGAAAAATAGATTAACCAAATTTGATATTCAGAAGAATTTTGAAAAAACCAAAGCAGATATCTAGAAACCGAGAACTGAGGAAAAAAAAATCTTTACGTGGGCAAATCAGTGAATGAAGGAAAGCAGAGAATTTTCCAATTCCACGCAATAGGAAATGGAGATTCAAGATTTTGAAACTGCATAAATCTACGGATTTTTTTGAGACATACCGCGCTGCTCAATTTTTACCTTTCTTTTCTCTGTGTAACCTAATTATCTCGAGAGTAGAAAAAATAGGGATTGATCGCCTCATATGGGACTGGTATAATTCTTTAGAGATAGCGAGACAGAGGGTGTATCGAGAGTCATGGTTTGGCGCAAATTTGGGCCAGCAGATCAGTGAAGAGGCATCTAGCCTCACTTTGCATTATTTTGGGGCATAAATAAAAAATGAAAAAAACGACAAGGGAAAAATGGTCTTGGTAAAGGAAACAGTAAGAACGTGGACAGACGGTACAAAACAAGAAAAAGGCGTTAGCGCAACGATGTTTGTAGATCAATAATCAATTTCTTGCTTGTTCGCAGATGGCAAAAATGCCTGAGGGTTCGGGCCGCATGTGGTCCAGCCTGCAAAAAGCTGGAGCCAGCTCAACCGAGGCTATGTCAAATCGAGCCTAGGCCCATCTTGGGGTTCTGGGCCAAGCCCAAGCCCGATCCCGAGCCAGCTAAAAAAAAAACACTAAAAAAAACTAAGGCAACTAGCTGCTACGTTTTAAATGAAAAAAAAAAAAAGAGGAGAAAAAGAGAATAAAAATAAAATGAGTCAGCTCGGCCCATTTTGGCTCGGTAAGGCACGAGCCGAAAGCTCGGGTCGAGCCTCAATTTTTTGACTGAACTTTTGCTGGACTCGAACTAAAAAAAGTCCATCTTCAAAAAGCTCGAGACGAGCTTGAGCCTTAATTTTCAACTCGCGAGCCGACTCGACTCAGCTCGTTGCCACAACGGTACAATACACAACCAATGCCCAATTACTTTATTTCAAAATAAAAAAGGAATGGATAGGACAGGATAGGATGTGATTGACTTTTACCTCGGCAGTAATAGAGATAGCATAGTTGTAGACAAGGGCTAGCTCGAGACGAATTATATGTAATAAAGACGACAATCTTTTTCAAATATAATCGAATGACAGTTAAACGTGTATAATGTGAAATTAAAATAATTAGTGAATAAAAAGTAATAAACCACTTATGTCAAATTAAATCTTATATGTCAATCATACAATATAGATCAAAAGTATAAAAGTAAGGAAAAATTGCAGCTATGGTATTTAACCTTGTGCTTTTATGTAGATTTGACCTAAAAATTCAATGTGTAGCATTTACGGTATCAAACCTTTCGAAAATTAACTGAAATTGTTAAATATTCTGTTAACTGAACAAAAAATCTAAGTTTCGCCACATGTTGACCAATTTTTAAAGGGCAAAAAGGTAAATTTACAATTTTTTTTTTTAATATAACAGAATTAAGATAACAAAACCAAAAAATTAAGAATAAAAGGAAAACAACCTTCATCTTCCTAAAACCGCCGACCTCGAAGGAAAACAATCCGTCTCCTTCAATTATCATTACCACCAAAATCACCGGAAAACCGCCTGCACCGCCACTCTTTCCTGCCAAATCCAATCATCCACGTCCACAACACCACCACCTCAGTCAAAATCCACCTAAAGCCAAAACCACAAATAAATATTTGTATCTATGTATGTATAATGTGCTGTAGATTCAAAAAATTCATTAGCATATTAGAAGAGAAATTAAGGGGGGTGTCCTCAATCTAAAGTTTGATGGATTTTAAAACTCCATATAAATTGAAGTATCTTCAATTCAGATTTAAATATAATTCATTAAAATATAGGTGTCCTCAATCTAGATTTTTAAAAATACTTATAAATTTAACTGTCCTCAACATAGATTTTAATAGGTAGTTTTGAAATTTAGACTTCCTCAATAACTAGTTGATTTTAAAAAATTTCATTAAGTAGATAGATTTTGATAGATTTTGAAGGATTTCAAGGTAAAAATATAAGTACAAAGAATCAGTAACAATTTTAACCAAAACCTAAAAATTTCACAACATTTCTCACCTCTCTCCATATTTGCTGCCCTCTCTCTCTCCCCCCTCCCATCTTGAACAAAATTTTCTTCTTCTTTGTATCTCACATTTCTCTACTATGAAAAGATCGTGTATGAGAATTTTTCAATTGATGATAATTTATGAAAAATTACTATTTTTTATTGAATATTGGGTGTGATTTTTTATTGAACTTATTTTTTCTTATTGAAGCTATATATTGTTTACTATTTTATAGATGTGCTGGAAATTATCATACTAATTTACGATTTCTAGTATGCATACTGGAACAACTTCGTCTTTCAAATTCAGTACCCTATTCCTTTTTCTTAGGAAAGAGCTGTGTGTTTTCTATATATACCTGCAAATCCTAGCCAAGACATGTGATGATGGTATTCCACAATTTTTTCTTCTGTGTCTGCATAGTCAATGAGAATTCTGGGGGTATGAAATTAATTGCCTTGTGGTCATGTATGTGTACATCTGTGTGTTTGTATCTCACAAGGTTGTGGCCTTTTGAACTAATTCATATTGATTACAACTTTGATTGTTTAACACTACATATTTTTGTCCTCTCCCACTCTCGCATTTTGTTGAATATTGGGTGTATTTTTTTATTGAAGTTTTGTTATAATATTCAATGTTTAACAAACAATTGAACAAGGATTCGATCATTTTCTGTGATTTATTAACGTGCATATGTGTAAGAATGAGTCGTTAAAGAAGAAGTAGAAAATTTGTGACTTATGTTAAGCATATTTATAAATTTTACCCAAAATCTATAAAATTCATGAAAATCTTTTAAAATCTACAAAATAGAAATCCATTCAAATCTTATGAAATCTATTAAATTCTATCAAATTTCACACAATCCATGAGAATTTATAAATATTAAGAAATCTATTAAACTCTGAAATGGGGACACCCCCGTAACACTATCTTCTTCTTTTTTCCAAAATTCCTTATCGTATAGAGGTAGATAAAATTACTCTTCAATCTTCATCATGGTCTCTCCTAGGTTTCTTGAATTTCAGGTCTAAATATTCACCAGATATGGGAGAAATATCGATTCGACCTCGATTGTCGATGCATCAAACTAGAGGCTTCTTGGTGGCGATTATGCTTTGCTCTTCATGGATGGTTTTGACTAGATTTTCTCAGGAGCTGGTAGGCATTGTATCATGATACATGAATTTGGGGTTTTGGCTATGGGCAGATTTTGACAAAGGTGATGATATTGTGGACGGGTGGAGGACAGGATTTGGCTGGGAAGTGGGAGGAATGGTGGTGTCGGCGGTTTGTCGACGATTTTGGTGGCTGTGATAATTGGAGGAGATGGGTTGTTTTCGTTTGATGCCGGCCTTCCAATTGGGATGATGAAGGGTTGTTTTCCTTTTATTTTTAGTTTTTGGTTTTGTTATTTTAATTCTTTAATATAAAAAATGTAAATTTATCTTTTTGTCATTTAAAAATTAGTCAACATTTAGTCAAATTTAGATTTTCGGTCAATTAACAGAGTATTTTGGTTTCAATTAATTTAGAATGCATGTGCTACTTTTTGAATAGTTTGGTACTGTGAATGCTACATATTCAAGGTTTAGGCCAAGTTTACATAAAAACAAAATGTTTGATACTGTAGTTACAATTTTCACTAAAAGTAAATAACATCAAATTTGAGAAAAAAGGAAAATTCAACTTTGAAGAATAAAGGTACGAGTAAAGTATGATATGCTCTTTAGAAGCAGTATCATAATATTATTATCAAATAATATATCTTATAAAGCAAGTAATAATCTATTTAAATATTAAAATATATAAAATTGTTATAATAATAAAATATTCTTGTAGATTATTCATATAGATGGTAACTCTTCAAGAGATTATATCGTATAGTTTTATTCGAGACATGATATTTTTAGAGTGAAAAAGTCTATATGTACATAATTATTGCACATAATGTAGTTCATAATGTGATGTGTCAAACTTTCGATTGTTGATGTGAAAGTGTGAGATTTGAATTAAAGATGGAATTCAGTACCGCATGTGAATATGGACACCATTATGTAGACAATTATGTACATATAACACTTCCCTTTTAGAGTAATATGTCAATATTCTTTTTGAATATTGAAATTTTAATATCACACCCTTCAGTAAAAAGTAATATTCTTCTAAAATATTAATAATATTATGCTACTTTGAAGCAACAACAAAATATTAACATTTGCTTCAAGTTGATAAACACCATTCATGGCATCTTGACTTGGTTGCAATCAATATGTGACCTTATTTCAATTTGATATGAAGAGTGCCTTCTTCCACGGATTCAATCACAACAATTGTTAATTGTATGACGATTAGATCAATGAAAAGCGCTCTTAGATTGGGTAAATGTAGCCTTCTTCACCTCTTTGAGAATAAATCAAGATTCCGGTGGAGAATTGTGTCAAATATATGATATTACAACGACAATTACATCTAATTTGGTTAAGGTCCGAATTTGAAATTCTATCTCTCTCTCTTTTTTCCCATAAAAATATGAACTTAGAAATATTAACTTTTTAGGAGCCTCTATTCTAGCAGAATATTAATATATGTAGTTTGTGCTTCTCGAGGAGTATTAGTAAACATAATATTTTTCTGAAATAATAATGACATTAAAATCTTACTACTTTAGAAGGAACAACACGATCCATATCAATTTAAAATAAATCATAAATAATTTATCATTTTATACGATAATTTGATACTAAGATCATGTAAGATCCTTAGTAGTTATGAAATATTACTTTAAACAATTTCATGCTCATGAAAAAGAAAAAAGAAAAATGTTAAAAAGAAAATTGAGTGGGATGCAAATAATTTAAAAAGGAAAAGCAATCATTACGAAAAATAATGATTACGTTATTCCATTACTACAATTTAATCATCATCAATGCATCACAACAAGATTTCACATTAAAGAGATTTATAGGCAGAAGAACAAAACCTGGGTTATTTGATAATGGATTAATAGCAATGAGAATTCTTTTCCGTTACAGAATTTCTGAAGTTTGGAATTGAATTCCAAGAGTTGTTTCGATCACTCTTTAATTCCTCTTTTTAGGATTGCAATCTTGGTTTATAAAAAAAATAAAAAAATTGAGAAAGAGTGCTGATAACATGACATGAAATAGAGAGAGAAAGAGATAAAAGTTAAGACATCGGTAGATTTGTGTGTATTTTTTTAAAGCCCAATATGGTATCGATTAAAATCTAAGTTAAAGTCAATAATTCATTTCAACCATATATTTTTTTAGGTCTCACAACTTTTCAATCTCACGTTTAATCAACTTTATCAAAATTTACTAAAAATATGATTTTAATCCCCACCAAACAGAACTAAGAACCAAAATCCCAAATTTCTATGAAAGAATTAGGACGGCGAGAGATACAATAGTAATAATAACTAAAGTTATAGGGGTATAATTATCAATTACTAATAAACATATTTATTTACAACCATTTACATTATTGTCCTCTATTGTTATGTAAATTTAATCTTAAAACTCGTAAATATATGTGGGAGTATTTATTTAGTGATATATTACCATGTGATGCATTAACTTGTTTATGTTAAGTTGTGGAGTCTAGTTCATTAAGGATTGTTTAGGAATTTATGTTTGAATTAGAGTCCTCATTATTGTTAAGTTGAGGAACTTAATTCTTGGAAAGTTCTATTAAGGATTTGGAGTCCTAACAATTGTTAAATTGTGAAGCCTAGTTCTATTAAGGAATTTGAGTCCTTATAAATTTGGTTATGCCCTATTTTATCTATAATTAGGGAGTTCTCCTTAAGTTTTTTATAACCATCAAATATAAAGAGAAAAAGAGGTTAGAGTAGATAAGTGTACAATTTTCTTGATTGTTTATTTTTCTTTCTTTAAATTGATTGCTCTCAGTGGAATAGAATTAATGTTCTAATTCTCAACAATTGGTTTTAGAGGTTTTAGTTTTGGTTGAGAGCGATGATGTGTCAAAAGGGGACGGCCTAACTGGGCAACAACCCGCTCAATGACGGGTAACTCAAAACCTAAGGCCGTCCCTGATTTTTACAATATTTTATACTACCAAGTATCCCTTGCAGGCACTCTTCTCTGTTATCACTGAGACTGAACCATCCAATTACACACAAGCAGTTATCTCTCCAGTGTGGCGTAAAGCAATGGAACGGGAATTTGATGGTGAATGGGACTTGGTCACTTTGTCCCCGCCCACTTGGTAAGCATGTCATATGCAACAAATGGGTTTGTAAAATCCAGAAATTGTCTGATGGAAGTATCGAACGATTTAAAGCCCGTCTGGCCGCAAAAGGATTTGATCAACAGTGTGGTGTTAACTACACAGACACATTTTCTCTTGTGGTAAAACCTACTTCTATTCACATTGTGTTAGCCTTGGCCGTTTCATTCAATTGGCCTATTAGGCAATTAGACATTTCAAATGCTCTTCTACATGGTTATCTTGATGAAGAATATTTATGGAACAATCACGAGGTTTTGTAGATGAAACTCATCCTGATTATGTTTGCAAACTTCATAAGTCACTTTATGGTCTTAAACAAGCTTCGAGAGCTTGGTTTATACGACTGTCCTAACACCTACTTGAGTATGGTTTTGTTGAATCAGCCGTCGACTAATCACTTTTTGTCTATACAACTGAGGCTATGAAATTATTTGTGTTGATGTATGTTGATGACATTATAGTTGCTGGGTCAAGCACACATGCAATTGATACTTTTATTCAATCTCTATCAACTAACTTCATGGTTAAAGATCTTGGAAATTTGAGTTTTTTTAGGTGTTCAAGCATCAAGAGATTCTCAAGGCTTGCATCTTTGTCAAACCCAGTATATCATAGATTTACTACACAACACCAAGATTGCTGGTGCAAAGCCACTTGAGTGCCCCACTACATTTGGTCCAAAGTTATCTTCTATAGAAGGTCCTTTATTGTCCGATCCAACAGAGTATAGAAGAGTGGTCGAGCACTTCAATATTGTACTTTCTTTAGATAGAATATTGCATATGTAGTAGATCTATTGTGCCAATTTATGCTTTTTCCACGCCAACGAACCTCATTAGGCTGTTGTCAAAAGAGTGATTCAGTATCTAAAGGGTAGTATTGATACCCTTCTATTGTTCACTCTAGGATCTATTACTCTTCAAGCTTTTTGTGGCTTAAATTGGACCGATAACCCTAATGAACGTCGTAGTACCACTGGATATGGAGTTTTTCTGGGAAGAAATTTGATATCATGGTTTGCCAAAAAACAACCAATTGTCTCTAAAAGAGTACTGAAGCCGAATATCGAAGTACGGCCATCACCACAGCAGAACCCCATTGGATAAGACCTTGAGGAACTTGGTGTCTTCCTACCATACACTCCTACACTATGGTGTAATAACATTGGAGCTATTGCCTTGGCTCCTAATCCCGTTTTCCATGCCCCTATGAAACATGTGGAAATTGACTACCACTTCATTTGAGAAAAGGTCCTCAATAAAAATATCAAATTGCTCATAGTTTACAAAGGGGCAAATAGATGCCTGTTTTGGTGTACTTCGGTCCAAACTAATGGTGACGATCATCCCTATCACTTTATCGGGGGATGTTAGACCAAGCAATCACCATCCTCAATCTTCTCCATTCATCACTCATCAACCTCCTGCATGTAATACTTGTCCTTCCATACGAGTAACAACTCCAAAATTTCCTCCAACGTGATCTTAGCATTCCATTGATTTCTCCTCAATTCTATTAATCATAACAATTGTACATGCCAGAAATTTAGTGCATTCCATATTTTGTATACTGAACTTTGTTCTTTAAAGCCATTGTAATACACAGAAGAGGCAATTTAGCCCTTCCATTCATCTTATACATTACTGCTGTTCTACAGTTCTATTATTCTAACTGTTGATAGAATTTTTGTCAACACGTGACTCTTTGGCGCCTTGAGTGTGATGCAATTCCTTACATACCAAACCTATTATGATATCTCTAGTTTCTATCTCTATTTTACCCAATTTTTTTATCATCACAATCTTTACCATTCCTTCTTGTGCTTATATAACTTTTTGCCCTTTTTCAATCTTTCTTGATTTATTCTTTTAGGCTTCCAGAATTGATCGCCCTCAAGTGGAATCAGTGAAATACCTAAGACCAAATTCATTAGGGCAACTGCCATACTGGACCCCACTGGCTCAACCTATGTTTCTTTGTGGTTTGGAGTTCATCATTTGAAGAATTAAAATGAAGAAATTTGAACTTGCAGTTGCAACTTTGAATAAGATGAGATTCGTGTTGGGAATCTACTTATACATGCACAGCGGAATTTAAAATAATTT